AAATCCCTGCAAAGACAACTCTCAAATGTCAAGGTCTATGCACTGAGCACACCTGCTCTCCCCACCCCGCTTGGCACACAGAACTCCCATGACCAACAGAAGATACGGTGTTTTCTGATGGACTTTGGCATCCCCTCTGACACTCTCTCACAATTCCTCCCCCCCCCCCCCCCACACACACACACAGAGGTCCCGACCCCCTTAGATTTTGCCCGGTTCAGGGCTAAGTGTTCGAAACAGGACTAAGGATTCGAAACAGGACTGAAGGCCCAGCTAGTTGGGAGACGATGCCGGGAGGATGCCTCTTTCTTTCTCTCCTTTCCAACTTGCCCAACTCTCCGAGATTTCTCTTTGTTTCCTCTGAATCCTTTCAGCTGGATCAGGAGCGCAATGCAGGGTGTGGTTGGGAGCCTGAAGTGTGTGGGAGGCATCTCTCCGGAGGCGGCATCATCGCAATGCCTTTGCCGAAGAGAGGCATGTGAGAATGTATGTGTAGAGATGGTATAAACGAATATAGACCTCCCGAAACAGATGCACAAACTGAAAGACGGTGCCTGGGTCGTGAGAGTAGTTCTGGGAGAGGGAAACATACCTTTCATGACAACAGCTGTGCTGGTTTCTCTTTACAGGGAGCGTCGTTTGCTCCGCACATTTAGGGCAGTGGATTCTCTGTTTCCCAAACTCTTATCCTTGTTCTAGAAGCATCCTCTCCTGACATTTCACCTCCATCTATGGCAGGCATCCTCAGAGGTTGTGAGGTTTCATGGCTGTGATTCTTCAGTATGCTCTGTGTTGTAGTACTACGGTGTTCCCTCACTTATCAAGGACCACCCGCAAAAAAGTGAAAATCCACAAAGTAGAGACGCTATCTCTATATATAAAAATGCTCTGTGCGTCATGAGTACCTTAAAAACAAAAAGAACCAATGAACGAAATCACACCAAATTTGGCAACAAAACGTCTCACAACACAAGGAGTGACCATCACTCAAAAAATTTATGATTTTGTCATTTGGGAGTTGTAATTGCTGGGATTTATAGTTCACCTATCATCAAAGAGCATTCTGAACTCCACCAATGATGGAATTGAACCAAACTTGGCACACAGGACTCCCCTGACCAACAGAAAACACTAGAAGGATTTTTGGTGGGCATTGACCTTGAGTTTTGGAGTTGTAGTTCACCTACATCTAGAGAGCACTGTGGACTCAAACAATGATGGATCTGGACCAATCTTGGCACAAGCACTCAATACGCCCAAATATGAACACAGATGGAGTTTGGGGAAAATAGATCTTGACATTTGGGAGTTGTAGTTGCTGGGATTTATAGTTCTACAATCAAAGAGCACTCCGAACCCCACCAATGCTGGAATTGGGCCAAACTCTCCCAAGACCAACAGAAAATACTGGAAGGGTTTGGTGGGCATTGACCTTGAGTTTTGGAGTTGTAGTTCACCTACATCCAGAGATCACTGCGGACTCAAACAATGATGGATCTGGACCAAACTCTACACAAATACTCAATATGCCCAAATGTGAACACTGGTGGAGTTTGGGGAAAATAGAATCTTGACATTTGGGAGTTGCAGTTGCTGGGATTTATAGTTCACCTAGAATCACAGAGCATTCTGAACCCCACCAATGATAGAATTGGGCCAAACCTCCCACACCGAACCCCCATGACCACCAGAGTGGGCCACAGCAACGTGGCGGGAGATGGCTAGTGTGTGTGTGTGTGTGTGTATGTGTGTGTGTTGTGTGTGTGTGTGTGTATGTAATGTTCGTTTGTGGGACACACATAACTCAAAGACCACTGGATGAATTGACACCAAATTTGGACACAAGACACCTATCAGGTCAACGAGTGTGGTGTTATTGTTCTAATGTTTATTGTTATTGCTTTAATGTTTATTGTTTTGCTTTATGAGTTTTATTGTTGTATTTGTTATGCTGTTGTTTTATTGAGGGCCTTGGCCTTTTGTAAGCTGCACCGAGTCCTTCGGGAGATGTTAGCGGGGTATAAATAAAGTTAATAATAAATAAAATAATAAATAATAATAACGAGTGACCATCACTCATAAACACACCGAAAAACACAGAGGCAGGGACTTAGAAAGCCAAAAAAGCAAAAAAGACTCTGTAGCACATGCGCAAAAACGACTCCCCTGGCAAACAAAACACACAATAGCATATCCACACTCTTTTCTAGACTACAGCTCCCAGCATTTGACCACTGGACTGGACCCTTTCACTACGGTGTTGCTTTTGCTATCAGTTTTTGTTTCATATTCTGTGGCTGAGTGCTATCTTTATATTTTGGACTATTAAAACAACCAGGAAGTAAGTGCTGATTTAATTGAACTGTTTGATACAAACTGGGAGTTTGTTTGGTTCATCTCTGCCTGTGTATCGGCAGAGCCCTGGCATTGTGACACCTGCCATCCTATCCCTTCCTTACTGGCTAACAAGCAGGCTGTTTCCTAAATTCGACTCACCAATCAACTCAAATGGGTTTGATGGATCTGTGTCTTGGGAGGCCCTGCGGGAGAAGTAATAAATAGCGTGATTTGCGTGGCAGCTGGGGTCAGGAGGGACCTTGATGGATTGGCTTGCCCAGGGCAGCTCCTGTCACTCGTCCCTTACCTCCTCCAGCACCAGAAGAGAAATATAATGCATTATGGCATCACTCCCATCTACAGTCTTTCCCCGCTTCTTTAACATTCATGTTTGTGGCTCCTAACGTTTGAAAAGGCTTGCTTTAGTTGTGTGAGAAGAGTGAGGGTGTCGGTTTCCAGGTGGAAGGCAGTCCCAGTCAGGGTTGGCTTGATGCGTTTGCTTCTTGGCATGCTTCTCCCTTTTGCCCTCCATTCGTGCCTCATCGAATTCCGCAGCACTGCTAGTCACAGCTGACCTCCAGTTAGAACGCTCAAGAGCCAGGGCTTCCCAGTTCTCAGTGTCTATGCCAGAGTTTTAAAAGTTGGCTTTGACCCCATCTTTAAATCTCTTTTCCTGTCCTCCAACATTCCATTTTCCATTCTTGAGTTCGGTAGAAGCAACTGCTTTGGGAGACGGTGATCGGGCATTTGGACAACGTGGCCAGTCCAGTGGAGATGATGGCGGAGGAGCACCTCCAGTGCTGGTGGTGTTTGCTTCTTCCAGCATGCTTGACATTTATCCACCTGTCTTCCCAAGATATTTGCAGGATTTCTCAAAGGCAACATTGATGGAATCATTCCAGGAGTTGAGGGTGACGACTATAGATAGTCCATGTTTGCAGCCATATAACAGGGTTGGGAGGACAATAGCTTTATGAACAAGCACTCTCTGCTTCATTTGGAAGAATGCTGCACTCGCAGAGCTCAGGCGGTGTTGTATTTCAGTGTCAATGTTGACTTTTGTGGAGAGGTGGCTTTATAAACAAGCACCTTGGTATCCCTATGGATGTGCCGGTCCTCAAACAGTCTCTGCTTTATTCGGAAAAAAGCTGCACTCGCAGAGCTCATGCGTTGTTGTATTTCAGTGTCAATGTTGACTTTTGTGCCATTCAGTCCACTGGAGATGATGGCGTAGGAGCATTGCTTCAGTGCTGGTGGTGTTTGCTTCATCCAGCATTTGGAAGAATGCTGCACTCGCAGAGCTCAGGTGGCGTGGTATTTCAGTGTCAATGTTGACTTTTGTGGAGAGGACAATAGCTTTATAAACAAGCACCTTGGTATCCCTACGGATGTCCCGGTCCTCAAACACTCTCTGCTTCATTTGGAAAAATGCTGCACTCGCAGAGCTCAGGCGGTGTTGTATTTCAGTGTCAATGTTGACTTTTGTGGAGAGGTGGCTGCCAAGGGAGCGGAAATGGTCAACATTTTCTAATGTTACAGCATTAAGCTGTATCTCTGGCATTGGGAAGGGATTGGCTGGTGACTGCTGGAAGAGCACTTTGGTTTTCTTGATGTTCAGTGAGAGGCCGAGCTTCTCATGTGGTTCGGCAAAAGTGTTCAGAGTGGCTTTTAGGTCTTCTTCTGAATGCACACAGATGACATTATCATCAGCATATTGAATTCTATAACCGATGTTGTAGGTCTTCTTCTGAATGCACACAAGACTACGTTATCATTGGCATATTGGATTTCTAGTAGAACGAAGCAGGACAGAGAAGCAGGGGCTTCAGTAGTGTAACAGAATAATGATCTGAAGTTTGGCAGTTCAAAGTCGCAGAATGGGGTGAGCTCCCACTGTTAACCCAAGCTGCTGCCAATCTAGCAGTTCGAAAACATGCAAATGTGAGTAGATTAATAGGTACCGCCTTGGCGGGAAGGTAAATGGCACTGCATGCAGTCATACCAGCCACACGACCTCTGTCTACGGACAAAGCAGTCTCTTCAGCTTAGAAATGGAGATGAGCACCTCCCCACGAGCCGGAGATGAAAGGGGAAGCCTTTGCCTTTGTTTGTGTATTTGTGTGTCATTGTTTCAAGGTCTTGAATGTTTGCCTGTGTCTGTGCTGCAATCTGCCCTGAGTCCCCTCGGGGAGATAGGGTGGAATATAAATAAATTATTATTACATTATTATTAGTAGTAGTAGTATTAATATGTGTTGGAAATTTGGCCCAATTCTATGGGGTTCAGAATGCTCTTTGATTATAGGTGAACTATAAATCCCAGCAACTACAACTCCCAATTGTCAAGGTCTATTTACCCCAAACTCCACCAGTGTTCACATTTGGGCATATTGAGCATTCATGTCAAGTTTGGTCCAGATCACTCATTATTTGACTCCACACTGCTCTCTGGATATAGGTGAACTACAACTCCCAAAGTCAAGGTCAATGCCTAACAAACCCTTCCAGTATTTTCTGTTGGTCCTGGGAGTTCTGTGTGTCAGGTTTGGTTCAGTTTGGTTTGTGTTCAAGAGGGATAAGTCTGGAAACCTAACTTGTGCTATACAAAGCTTGTGATGTTTCCCGTATTCACAATCCCACCTCTCTCTACTTTTTCTTTGCAGACAAACCAGGGACCTACTTCCCTCAGCCGCTGCCAACCCCTCAGGATGGTGAGTTACTACAGATCCTTAACACTCAATGCTTCTTGCTTTTTTGCCACTGGAAAAGTTATTCTCTGGGAATTGTAACATAGAGATCTATGAGGGTTGAATGAAAAGTAATGCCTCCACCTTTGTAACTCCTAAACAACTGATAGTACTGGTATGTGGCAGGTACTGGCTTGTTCAGTAGACTCTCGTCTACAGTTCCATCGATGGTGCAACCTGGTTTTCCCTGTAATAGGCAGTAAGAACACCTAAAGCTTTGGAGAGCTTCCATTTGACCATTTCAAAGCTCCCTGCTTGGGAGGTGATGGCGCAATCGTCAGCGTAGATGAAACTCTCTTTCCCTTCCGGAAGTGGCTTATCATTTGTGTAAACATTAAACATGGAAGGAGCAAGCACGCTCCCCTGAGGCAAGCCGTTCTTCTGTTTCCGCCATCTGCTTCTCTGGCCCTGGAACTCAACAAAAAAGCTCCTGTCTTCTGTTTCCGCCATCTGCTTCTCTGGCCCTGGCACTCAGCAAAAAAGCTCCTGTTTTGTAGCAGATTTCCTATGCAGTGGGTGAGGTGGTCATCCTTTATGATACTATAAATCATATATTATATTGTATATACACATAATATTTATAATATTATAATGTAATACAAATTAATACTAATAATAATATATTATAATTATATATTTTATATTACTAATAATATTACAACATAATGGTATAGTACAATATAGTAATATATAATACTGATATTGTACTATGCTAATAATGTATTTTTTTTCATGAGCGCTGCGAAATGCTTGGGAGGAAAAGCGAGATCAAAAAACAAATTTAGCAAACGCTTACTTCATTTCATTTACTTGATATCGTGTAGGCTCACACGCTGTGAAATTTCCCCCCGCTTTAAACTTGCTATCTTTAGAAAGCAAAACGAAACGGTTTAAAAATATCTTCCTCGTGGCTCTGAATCCTCCCAATTGCAACCAAATGATCTCATTCGCTTTGTATTTTTTGGGAACGTGTGTGTTTTTTTTAATTGTGAGGGGAACCATTTGAAACCAACCCATTCCGAAAGAACTCCTTTTCAAAAATACAATTTTTCACTCCTTCTTCAGTCCTGCATTTGTTCACCTTCTCCCTCCCTCCCTCCCTTCGTTCCCTCGGTGTGCAATGCCAGCATTCAATGCTCTCAGTTTCCGGCATCCTCTTCACTGAAATTCCAATCTCGCAAACAAACATATGAGGGTGTTTTGAAGAAGAGAGCAGAAGGCCATTTCATCCACTCTCGTATTGTGACTCTCTGCTGTCTTGTTCCGCCTGATTCTCCGGTGCGTGGGCGCATGGATGAGCCATGAGTTAGACCCATGTGCCTACTTTCAGCTTTACTGTATGTGCTCACACTCCACCATTGGGAAGTTGACCCTTTCACTGACCCAGGGTCGATCCTCCAGAGAGGATATGAACCATCACCACTATTATCAACCAGGAAGATTTACAGTGTTCCCTCACTTATCACGGGTGTTCTGTTCCAGGACCACCCGCAATAAGTGAAAATCCGCAAATTAGTCACCTGGGAAGGTCAATATCTTGAACATTGTTTCCATCCTAAATATCTCGGTGTCACCTTAGATCGAACATTAGCATATAGGAAACACTGCTTGAACACCAAGTACAAAGTAGCTGCACGCAATAACATCCTGCAATAACACTATTTATCTACACACATTACTGTTTTCGAACTGCTAGGTAAGCCGAAGCTAGGGCTGATGGAGGGAGCTCACCCCAACCCACGGCTTGAACTGCCAACCTTCTGGTTGGCAAGATTTTCAGTAGCTGGCAATTTAACCTCATGTACTACGTTGTTACTTCTCTTTTTTCCCCTTGGATTTGGCCATGGAGTGGTCACTCCACCCCTCTCTAAGCCCAACACTCCTCCCACCCACCCTACCCCTTCTCAGGCCCCCTCCCTCTCCTCCTTCTCTCTTCTTCCTCTTTGCTTAAAAGAAAACCTCACCTCTGTCACTCGCTCCTGTCTCTTCATCCTAAAATGGTGGAGAAGGCAGGATTGAGTGGTGTCACCACCTCCTTCTGGAGAAGGAGGAGGCCTCTGGGAAATGAGGGAGGTGGGAAAAAGTTAGTGGTGCCTTGGTTCCTAAGGACATTGGAAATATGTGTTGTCTGATGGTGTTAGGAGACCCCTGTGAAAGGGTGGTTCAACCCCCAAAGGAGTCGCGACCCACAGGTTGAGAACGGCTGATCTACTCAGATTTGGTACTAATGGAAGTTCAGATTGCAGTGATGGCATGGAGGTTGGTGGTGATCGGGGATGCAACTGTCCTGAATTGCCCTTCACAAACAGCCTTTAGACAATGTTGAAAGTAAAAGAAAAATGCTTTACTTCAGCAAACACAAAGAATAAGCAAAGTGCAAAAGAAAGCAAGGAAGTCTTAATTCAGACACAAATTAAAGTCTTTTACAAATCCCAAGAGAAACACCAGTCTTTCATTAGATATCAGACAATGAACTAAGTCTTTAGCAGCAGACACAAAGCAGATTCTGTTGGAGTGAAAACAGCAGTATCAGGATCATTGTTACCAGGGTCGTCTGATTTATAGCCCTGAATTCCCCACACAGGAAGTGCTAGGGAGTCTCCCAATTAGCTCAGCATTTTTAGCAGCTATTCTGGCTGAATGCCGTCTGTGCTCTGTCTCTTTTCATCTCTCTAGAAATGTGGGCACTTTCATAACCTCATTGTCTGATTCTTCTTCTGCCCCCAATTCCTGAGCACTTCCCTGTTCCCCTTCCTCTTCCAAAGATGAGGAATCCCTAATATCAACAGGAGGCCCCATTGCTTGAGACCTTGTAGGCAATGTCCTTCCCAGCCAATCGTAGATAGATCAGTAGCAGATCCTGAACAGAATATTGATAGAATGGTAGGTTGAGTCAACATGGAGTCTTAGTGGGGATGTGGGTGTAGCCGGAATGAATGGAATCCTTGGGTTGAGCCTGGCTGATGGAGTCTCATGTCTTTCCAAACCAGTTACCTCTAACAGTCTTTGAAAAACCATGTTGTTCAGGGAGACGAAGCTGTGCAAGTGGGGCATGCTGACTAAGCTTTCCGCTTCATTTCTGAACTGGCCCGAGTGTAGAGGCATGTTAAATATATATATTTCATTTAAATTCACCACTTCTCCTAAACTGTACCCACTCTCCACACAGATTATGCACCTGCCCTGGCAAGCTGTGGTTTGCATTCATACACTTCTCTCTAATATCAGGATATATATATGCAGTTCTAGCAAATTGCCTCCACAAGCCTACTGAACTGGCAAGAAATTGTTAATGGGTTCCGTGTGTTCCCCTTGATGAAGGGAGATTGACACTGTTTTCGCGTTTCTGGAGCCCTTTTCAAAATTATATGCTGCCTCCGGGTTTGGAAACAAACAAGCTTGGAGAGGGCCTGTCATCGTTGACAAACAGGGAGTGATGGTTTGAGGGGGGCAGAGTATGTCCTGTTCTCCTCCTTAAGTTCGATCCAGGTGGATGGAACGTGTAGCGACAAATTGGAATCGCTTTGATCGGGATTTTCGAGACTCGGAAAAGTCCTCTGAGCTCTTTCGAAGCCACCGAGTTGGAAAGTATGGGTTGCTTTGCAAGCACACCTTCTTGGAGAATGTCAAAGTGTCCAAGGGAATGGCTGTTGTTGTGATTTCTGTGGTTGACGTGGATGAGGACAAAGTTAAAATGAGGGGAGAGGATTTCAGCGTGGGAGGGAGGGATTAAGGTTAAGAAGGGCCTCGTACAGTTAGTGGCAAAGAGCCAGGATGGGACCTAGAGGTGGTACCTGAAGGTCTATAGCTGGAGCGATTAGACATTAAAGCCAGAATGGAAATGATTAGAGTTGTGCACGGAATTTGTTTCTTTAGGTACTTAGGGAGCTCGTAATGGTAAGGGCCCTCCCGGTACGAAAATCAGCTCGAGGAGTGATAAAGTTGAATGTCATCTGTGTACAGTAACCTCAATTTGTTTTGATTTGTGAGGGTTGAATGAAAAGTAATGCCTCCACCTTTGTAACTCCTCAGCAGATAGCGGTACTGCTATGCGGCAGGTACTGGCTTGTTCAGTAGACTTTCCTCTACAGTTACATTTTGGCAGGAAGCCTTAGCAGAAAAAGTAATGTCTCCACCTTCGTAACTCCTTAACAGATGGCAGTACTGGTATGCGGCAGGTACTGGCTTATTCAGTAGACTCTCCTCTACAGTTCCATTTTGGCAGGAAGCCTTAGCAGAAAAAGTAATGCCTCCACCTTCATAACTCCTCAACAGATGGCAGTACTGGTATGCGGCAGGTACTGGCTTGTTCAGTAGACTCTCCTCTACAGTTCCATTTTGGCAGGAAGCCTTAGCAGAAAAAGTAATGCCTCCACCTTCGTAACTCCTTAACAGATGACAGTACTGGTATGCGGCAGGTACTGGCTTGTTCAGTAGACGCTCCTCTACAGTTCCATTTTGGCAGGAAGCCTTAACATTGAACGGTTGTGTTGTTAAAGTGTGAAATATGGAACCCTGCGCAGACAGAAAATGCGATTTAAGCAATGTGCAGTCAGTGAATTCTTGACAACAGAAGGTGTCACCCCAAAGGAGATTCACTAGAGAATGCAAGCTGTTTATGGGGATTGTGTTGATGTGGGTACTGTGTGTCTTTGGGCAAGTAAGTTTAAAGATGTTGAGGTGGGAACATCTGACTTGCGTGACAAACAACGAGTTGGACGTACTGTGACAGCAACCACCGAGTTTCACAAGCAAAAGGTTGACTGATTGATTCAGGACAACTGTTGTATCACTCAGAGAGAAATTTCAAGCATAATCGGCATTTCACAAGAAGATGTGGGTCACATTATTGCTTTGCTTGGCTATCGGAAGATCTGTGCATGATGGGTACCCAGGATGAGAGAACGGTGAGATGCTGGTTGCGGAAACAGTGTCAACTTCTTCCATGATGGCTTCAGAAAACT